TGCTCGTATGGGTACATGTATGTGTGTGTACACATTTGGCTATGTAGAACAATTAGGGTGGGCCAACATCTGGACTCCTATGTCAGTCTATACCCACACCGAGAAAACCTTTGTCCCAGTAGTCATACCATCACATCTTTAAGACCGAGATGGATCCATAGGCAATTTGATGATACCTCCAGTATCTAAACCTGGAGCAGATAGTCACCCCCCACTAGTCTTTTAGGCTACCTTTTTTTCTTCTTAGATACGAGACTCACCAAAAAGGAAAACACATTTTTTAAAAACATTGTTTTTACATATACAATCAATAAATGAAACACTTTTAAAATAATTAATAAAAACTTTTTATTTTTCTTGTAATGCACCGCCATGCCCCCTCCCACCCGTGAATGCAGGCGTTTTTTCGTTGGTAGATCTTATTGATCTAGGAAAGGTAGATCTCCAGATGAAAAATTGTGGGCGCCCCCGGTCTAAAACAAAGAATTTTATTACATTTTAATTCTTGTTTGTGCACCTAATTAAGATACTGTAGGTTCAGGTTGTATGCAGATTTTTTCCACCAGAGGGAGTGCTGGGAGGGCTGGAATGGTAGAGGTAATGAGCCCAGCTGAAGTAAGCTGGCTCATTAGGACTCTATAAAAACTCCCAGACTGCTCAGAGATTTGCTCTCCACCCCGAAACCAGTTTCATGCCTGAGTAGACTGGGGAGCTTTCTACTGACCTCTGTGGTGACACAGAAACACAAAACTTTTGTGGTGAGACACAGCCTGTGTGGTGAAAACTGACTTCTCAAAGTCACTGCTGTATATTTATACCCTGTCTTAGCCTGCACCACTGACGAAAGAAGGAGGTATAAACATTCATAAGTCTGACTAGTTCATGCCTCCCATGCTATTACCAGGGACACCTCCAGCAGAAGGCGAAAGTAAACATTCACCAGAGCTTAGGAGAGACTCAAGAAAGTCAAACTGTCAATCAGACTACAGCCTGACAACTTCAAAATTTAAAGAGACACTCCTGCTTAGAGTAGGGCACCTAGACAAGACTGAAAGTAGGGGATTGTATACACTTTTGAACACTAAGTAGAAAAATAATTACAAATCCTTTACTGTTATAGAAAAGCCAAAAGCACACCTTTAACTGTCACCATAAAAATGACAGACCTGTCTACAGCCATTACAACGGCCGGCCGGGAAGCTTCTTGGATCTAAGCAGGCATTGTTAAACATCCCCGCCGTCCCGCTCATGCTCGCTGCTGGGTGGCGCTTGAGTGGGAAAACTGCTGAAATTGGCTGTTTTACATACAAGCTTGTATAATGTGTGCGGGTGTACCACTAGTGATGGGCCGAACACCCCCGTTTGGTTCGAATTTGAACTTTAGAACATGTGAAAAGTTCGAACTCAATTCAAGTCTATGGGGGTAGAACATTGAAAATCAAATGTCCCCATTTTGAAGCCTTAAATGCAATTTATTGGCAATAAAACGTGTATGGGGATCCGGGTACTGCCCTGATGGACAGGAATCAATGACATTTAAAAAAATGTCATTTGGCTTGCTGACCGGGGTGTTTATACTAGTGATGGGCTGCATGTTCGACTCGAACATAGCCTGTTCTAGTGTTCGCTGAACGCCGAACATTGCAGGATGTTCGCGGTCTGTTCGACCGCGGAACATCCCACAATGCACTGCACCCTCCGAAACTGTTATTGGCTACTGTCAGAACTGTACAGTACTGTATTTGCATGGTGTGCCAGCCATTCCAGCCACCTTGTTGTTTCTCTGATGTGCAGCCCAGGTGGTACCTGTAGTGTGACAATGTACAGTACTGTACAGTACTTCTTTTTCTTGAGTAGTTTTGGGAGATCTCGGTACCTTATTCCATACTGTATTGTTTATTTTGTACCCTTTAGTACAAGATGTCATCAAAACGGAAGAGTTCACCAGGAAAAAGCAGCAAAAAACAAAGGAAAGCTATTGATCTTGACATGAAAGTGAAGATAATAAATGACTATGAAGCTGGTAAAAAAGTTAATGCAATAGCACAGGATGTGAATCTGGCACATTCAACCATTTCAACCATCCTGAAGGACAAAGACAGAGTGAAGGAGGCAGTGAAAACATCAACAGGTTTTAAAGCCATAATAACTAGGCAGCGGAAAGGCCTCATCCATGACATGGAAAAATTATTATCTGGTTTGATGACCAAATACAAAAAAGAATGCCAATGAGTCTTTCAAGCCAAGGCACTCAGTATCTTCAAGACTTTGAAGGCACGTGAAGGTGAAGAGTCGACTGAAACTTTCACAGCAAGTCATGGATGGTTTCAGAGGTTTTGTCGCAGATTTAACCTGCATAATTGGAGTGTCAGTGGTGAGGCGGCAAGTGCAGATGTAGAAGCAGCAGAAAAATTTCTGGACCAATTTGATAAAATCATAGAGAAAGGCGGCTACTGTCCAGAACAAATCTTCAATGTGGATGAAACCGGACTTTTTTGAAAGAAAATGCCTGAAAGGTCCTACATACACAAAGAAGCTAAAACAATGCCTGGCTTCAAGGCTAAGATGTCATCAAAACGGAAGAGTTCACCTGGAAAAAACAAAGGAAAGCTATTGATCTTGACATGAAAGTGAAGATCATAAATGACTATGAAGCTGGTAAAAAAGTTAATGCAATAGCACAGGATGTGAATCTGGCACATTCAACCATTTCAACCATCCTGAAGGACAAAGACAGAGTGAAGGAGGCAGTGAAAACATCAACAGGTTTTAAAGCCATAATAACTAGGCAGCGGAAAGGCCTCATCCATGACATGGAAAAATTATTATCTGGTTTGATGACCAAATACAAAAAAGAATGCCAATGAGTCTTTCAAGCCAAGGCACTCAGTATCTTCAAGACTTTGAAGGCACGTGAAGGTGAAGAGTCGACTGAAACTTTCACAGCAAGTCATGGATGGTTTCAGAGGTTTTGTCGCAGATTTAACCTGCATAATCGGAGTGTCAGTGGTGAGGCGGCAAGTGCAGATGTAGAAGCAGCAGAAAAATTTCTTGACCAATTTGATAAAATCATAGAGAAAGGCGGCTACTGTCCAGAACAAATCTTCAATGTGGACGAAACCGGACTTTTTTGGAAGAAAATGCCTGAAAGGTCCTACATACACAAAGAAGCTAAAACAATGCCTGGCTTCAAGGCTTTTAAGGACAGGGTCACATTGTTGTTGGGAGGAAATGTTACTGGGTTCAAGTTGAAGCCTTTACTCATCTATCGGTCTGAGAACCCACGTGCATTGAAGAACGTTAGTAAGTACACATTGCCTATTTACTATCGAGCAAACAACAAGGCATGGATGACGCAAGCTTTATTTGAAGATTGGTTCAATAACTGCTTTACACCCTCGGTGAAGCATTACTGTCTGGAAAAGGGCGTTCCCTTTAAAAATCATCCTTCTGCTTGATAATGCTCAAGGCCACCCCCAGCATCTTGATTATCTACACCCAGATGTAAAGGTAGTGTATCTGCCTAAAAACACAACTGCTATCCTTCAGCCAATGGACCACGGGGCTACAGCTACATTCAAAGCATACTATTTGCGTACAACTTTTTCCAAAGCTGTAGCAACAACAGAAAACAATGAAGTAACCCTTACAGATTTCTGGAAATCATACAACATTTTAGAGTGCATTAAGAACATTGCATCAGCTTGGGAAGGAGTGACAGAAAAGTGTATGCAAGGCATATGGAAAAAATGCCTAAAACGTTTTGTGCATACATCACAAGCATTTGACAAAGATGAACATGTCAATCGTATAAACGAAACAACTGTGGAACTTGCTAACAAGCTTAATTTTGAGGTTGAACTGCAAGATATTAAAGAATTAGTGGAATATACTGAGGGAGAGCTAAGTACAGAAGATTTAATATAGTTGGAAGCACAGCAACACTTAGAAGAGGAGGAAGAAGAAGAGGATAGAATTGAAGAAGTACCAAAGAACTTCACTGCAAAGGGATTAGCGGGTGTGTTTTCAAAAGTGAATGCAGCTATGTTAGAACTGGAAGCTATGGATCCGATTGTTGAACGGTTCACAAAAGTGGAACGGCAAATAAGTGAACTTTTACGTTGCTATCGTGAAATTTATGAAGCAAAAAAGAAAATGACAAAACAGACCACACTAACAGGATTTTTCTCGAAAACTACACCCAGGACCCCTATTACTAGTTCTTCCATTTCTACTTCATCATCTCCCGTGCCTTCTACATCTCCTGATCAGAATTCCGATGATGACACTGACGATACCTTTTTAGGATTTAAAGACTAACAGGGCTATTCACAAAAGGGTGAAGAGTTTGGAGAAGGCAGGAGAAAGGAACAATCTAGGCCAAAATAGCTGTTTTGGAGAAATTCTCCATTTCAACTCACTTTCCAGTTCAACTATGCTGTCCTAGATTGTTCACTTATCATGCCTTCTCCAAACTCTTCACCTTTTTGTGAATAACCCTGTTAAATGTTAGCTTGAATTTATTTTTTGGTACAATTCTGTACAACTTGTTTAGTACAGTACAGTGTGGTACCATGTTAGCCATCGATAAATGCAAGACGTATGAAACCCTGTAATCCCCTTAATTTAACTGGAGTTAAACTGGAGTTGTCAAACATGCAACCACCCAGGATCTGAGTAATCCCAAGAGCTTGCATCCCCAACAACTCCAGCCAGCCAACAAAGGGCACCACAAAATGTCTTGCACACATTGTTTACCTGTTTAGTGAGCCTCAATGTCAAACTCCAAAAAAAAGACAAATTTCTTGAAAACATTGTTTACTTGTTTAGTGACCCTTAATGTCTTTTTTTGTACAGTACACCTTGTTTATACAGTAAAGTACTGTTTTGCTGATTGTACTGTACAGTCCAGCTATAGTACTACTTTGATGCAAATAAAAGCAACGTTATCAAGTTGGAGTTTCCTTTGTCCATTTCTTTGCTCTGAAATATTGTAGGAAGGAACTCGGTCGCTAAACGAGGAATGCCTGTATATATAAAATCAATCAGACTTCTGTGTGTGTGTGTGTATATGTATGTGTATATGTATGTGTGTGTGTATATATATATATATATATATATATATATATATATATATACATATCAGACTTCTGTATATTTTAGAGTTCTATATAAATATCAATAAAATGTATATAAATGTAATTTTTGCTTCAGCAGGTTCTATACATCATACAGATGCGCAACTTTACGGTCAGTGAAAGGGGACCCCCCCAGGCACCATATTTAAAGGAATTTTTCATTTTTAATGTTTCATTTTAAGTGATGTTAAATCACTGCTCCTTCAAAAATTGTATTTTTTAAAAGTATTTTTTTTATTGATACATGTCCCCCAGGGCAGTACCCGGATCCCCATACACTTTTTATGGCCAATAAATTGCATATAAGGCTTCAAAATGGGGACATTTAATTTTCTGAGTTCTACCCCCATAGACTTGCATTGAGTTCTAAGTTCGAATTAGAACTTTTTCCATGTTCGAAAGTTCGAATTAGAACCGAACACGGGGGTGTTCGGCTATTCCCTAGCTTATACCCCCTTCCTGGCCAGGCCATTTTTCAGTGTACATCGCTAAGGTACTTTGACTGACATTTATTCCGTCATGCAACGCAGTGCTGAAATAAAGAGCTTTCTTTTGGTGATATTTAATCACCACTGGGGGTTTTATTTTTTACTATATAATGAAAAAAGTACCGAAAATTTCGAAAACAAAACTGTTTTCCCTACATTATAAAACAATTATTATTACCCAAATTTTTGGCAAAATATAAAAGACGGCGTCACGTCGGGTAAATAGGCACCAAACATGTCAAGCTTTAAAATTGCGTGCACCCGCGAATTTGCAAAAACTACCATACCCAAAATTGGCCATAGGCGACGCTATAAAAGCTTTTACCGCTCATCAGTTTAGTGTTATCAGTGATTGATGGCCCTAAAATTATTGCTCTCACTGCGACGTTCCCGGCGATATGTAACATGTGCGGCGTAATGGATGCAATCGTCGTTTCCGCACGTAGGCGCACTCGACGCATGTTTGCATATTTTTTTAGTGTCAGGTCCTCTTTATGGAGACATCAGGGGTCTTTAAGACCCCTAATGTCACCTAGGGACCCCCAGAGAAGCTGATGAAGCAAACACCTGCTTCACCAGCTTCTCTCCGGTTTCTTTACCGGAGAGTGACAGAGGAATGCGGAAGTGATGTAATACACATCACTTCCTGCATTCCGAAGAGGAGGAGGAGATCAAACAGAGCTCGTGTACTGAGCTCCGTTTGATCTCCGGCCGTAGAGCTGCTGTGCTTGTCCCGGGCTCGCACCTGGCACAGCGGAGCTCGGGATCGCCAGCAGCGGCTGCAACGGAGGGGGCGGGCGCACACCCGCACGCATACTACAAGCAATTGGGCATCTCTACAGACGCTTGAACGCTTGTATGTAAACAGCCATCGCTGGCTGTTTACATTCCAGGCTGATTTCCCACTCGTGCACGCCGCCTAGTGGCGGGCACGAGCAGGGCGGGATGGGACGTTTAAAAACGCCCACCCGCATTCAAGAAGCCGATGTCCGGCAGTTTAATTACAACAGCTGGACAGCAGGTGGTTAAAGGATCAGTGATTTTAACATCACTTTAAAGGGTAACTAATTTAGACATGTGCACACTGCAAAATTTAGTTTTGGACGAATGGATTCATCCTAAAACTAAATTTATTTAGCTACTGCCGAAATTCGTTTCTATTTCTTTTGCATTAAACGAAATCCATTCATCGGAAATCTGAATGCACTAAAGGTTGGTCACAGAGCTCAGACCCACAGTAATACGGATTACTTGCCATGAATTACAGCTATATGTCGGCACACGCATGTATGTTATAAATGATCCCCTTCCTTTATTCTCTGTATTAATACATGTACAATGTTGGCACACACATGTATGTTCATAAATATCCCCGTCCTTTATTCTCTGTATATATAATATCGGCACACAAATGATCCCTGTCCTGTATTGATACATGTACACATCTGTAATCACGGTGCGGGATATATAGAAAAGATGATCAGATCGGGGGGTTTGATCATCTTTTCTTTATATCCCGTTCAGTGATTACAAATGTGTACATGTATCAATACAGGACAGTGATCGCTCGTCATTGCCCCCACAGATTGGCCATATCGGTCAGGGAACACATACAACTCTAATCAGGGGCGTAACTAGAAATCACAGGGCCCCATAACAAAATTCTGTATGGGGCCCTATGGGCCCTGCCTCTTCCTCCCCGCCACGTCCAGCCTCCTCCACCGCTGCTGCTGACTCTCATTGACTCAGTAGCAGCTATGGAGAAGAACGCAGCGCTGCACAGATCACGGTGATCTGAACAGCGGCGGTTCGAACCCATAGTGACCCAGGCGGCCCACCCGGCATCAGGGGGGTGTCCTGGTCGGGCCCCCCTGTGCCCGGGCCCCATAGTGCCACTGACTCTAATCACATCTCTGTATAATCCTGGATTACATTTACAGTTCTGGGTGACAAACGTTTTATGAATGTTTATAATAATATGGACATGTATAGATGAACATGTGACACACACACACACACACTTGGGAGTAGGATGTGATCCAACTGTACAGCGATCACAGGGTCATACCAACACAAAGGTAAGTAACGACTTATATAGGTGTGAAGGGGGAACTACAAGTGTAGGAGTCATACAAGATCTGGCTGTGCAATGTCATGTGTCCGCATCGTACTATACATGGTATGGAGCACTGTGTACCCGACATATCCCTACACTTTTTATAATTAGGAAAACGATTGTAATGGATCAGAAATGCCATCATGGCTTATAAACACAAACGTTATCATTTCCGCACCTTCTATTTATTACATCAGGGCTCTGTGATTCTCAGAGATCTCAGTCTGCTTTACTTCATTATGCTGTTGAATAAAACCCACAGTACACTCTGTGTGCATGTTATTTAACGATCGGTAAGTAAATCCAGACCTGTAAGTTTACACACAGATTATTGATAACCCATCGCCCCGATATTATTGTCACCTACTACCCTAATGATCGCTCTATTTGATTCATGCACTGACCCTGTGGAATACCATAGTGCTTAGTTTAAAAAGAGGGTCTTAGTCACATTAACCTTAATCAATGTTATATTATTTGTTTACTGTGGGTCTGAGCGCTGTAATCAGAGCAGTTTAGTGTAATTCTTTAACTCTGAGAGTGAAAGTGCAACATAGCTGAGAGTTACAATAACAGCTGATCACATTATGCATTCCATGCTGTGGGAGAATTAATTAACCCCCAGAACACAGAGAAGAGAACTAAACACAAGTATGCAGATTTTGCAAAGTGTGCTTAGCTTTCTTCCCCATGCTGTGGGGGTTAATTGATTTCCACACAGAATGGTGTCTCTTACAAGCACGGGGTGGTTAAGTCTCCCACAGCTTGCACCCTCTAGCTCTCCCTACAGTCCTCTCCCCTTACCATCTTCTTTTTTTTTTCTATTCCGACAGCTCCTGCCGTCGGAGTAAAAACAGCATGAAAATGAATAGTTAGATTAGCAGAAGAGGACCTGTAGTTCTCCATCAGGTCCTCTCCTGCTGATTGATAGCAGCAGTGGGCAGGAGCAATAGCCAGCCTGCTATTGGCTATTGCAATAGCCAATAGCAATCTAGCTATTCAGTTTCATGCTGTTTTTTTTTTTCACTCTGGTGGCAGGAGCTGTCAGAATACAAAAACAAAAAAGAAGATAGTAAGGGAAGCATTAGCTCCCCTGCCACCTGCCATCATTTCAGGGAGCTGCCCTGTCCCCCCTTTGAGACTTTAGGATATATTTAGAGGTACTGAACACTTTGTATTTGATTG